ACAAACACAGGGTCATTACAAGAAGAGATTAAACGTAGATGTGATCTAGCAAAAGTTTCCACAGCAAAAATGACCAAAATATGGAAGGAATGTCAAATTCCAAGAGCGATAAAGATGAGGTTGATCAACTGCTTAATATTCCCAATACTGACCTACGGATGTGAATCTTGGACTCTGAGACAATCAGAGAGAAAAAAGATAGACGCCACTAAAATGTTCTGTTGGAGACGAATGTTACGAATTCCTTGAACCGACCGTAGAACAAATAATTCAATTTTAAGAGAGCTAAAGGTTAGCCAACGACTCTCTAGTAAAGTCCATCTCTAACAATTAAAATATTTTGGGCATGTTATGAGAGCAAACACAGAAAACATGGAAAGACTCATAATACAAGGAAACGTAGAAGGCCGAAGATCACGAGGAAGATCCCCAACAAGATGGATAGATCAAATTACAGGAATATGCCAAAGACCTTGACGTCTCCAGATACAGAGATCTCTGGAGACGGACAATACACGACATCACGTCGACCACTACACTCCCCCTGGGGGGTCAGGATTGAAGAGAGAGATCACAATCTACAACTAAAATTTAAGTAAATAAATTATTTGATATGGGTCTAATGAGTAGGTACTCAGTCTACAAAAGAAATATGAAAATTTTGGAAAAGTGACAACTTATTTCTCAACGTAGTCTCTTTTTAACTCTATATACTTTACCCAGCGATGCTCTTTTGTATTCTGAACTTTTTTAACACGTCTAAAAAATACATTTTCGCGAGGTCTGCAAAATAAGTCTCCATGACGGCGATGAACTCCTCATTCGACTTAATTTTTGCTCAGCGAGTGACTTTTTAAGACTCACAAGAACAAATCGTTGAAATACGGTAGATGAAGCAGCACCGCATGGCCCAATTCGGCCAATTTGCCCGTGGTGACTGAGAAGGTGTGAGTCATTACGTTATCCTGGTGGAAAAACACTTTTTTCTTCACCATATCGGTCCGGTTCTTCTGAAATTTGGCGTCGAATTGGCCCAATAATTTGGCATACCAGAGCCCTCTGACCATTTTTCTCTTCTTTAGATAGTCGATGTAAACTACACCTTGTGAATCCTAGACAACGATATTCATCACCTTTTCGACCGATAAGACATCCTTCGCCTTCATCGGAGCTCGTTAGCTGGGTAAGCTTCACTGTTTCGACTACAGCTGTTGTTTTGTTAACGGTCACGAATCAATGTAAAAACTCCTTTGGATTGCTCCTAAACTCCGTCAAAAACTGCTCTAAATTGATCTCATGGTTGGGCTTGTTGTCCGGTGTGTGCAAACATGGTATCTATTGCGGCGATAGTTATTTCGTATCCAAAATTCACGTAGTCGTTTTCGGGTAACAAAATGTGGTAGCGGTTTTTAGGTACCTGTAAAAAATTCGCACTGTCAGATGTAAAAAAATATAATCACTAAACATATAAATTTAAAGAAGTACCTGGTTTCAATTTGATAACCGGCATGGGAGTATTGCAAAACTATATAAAAAAAAGATCAAAATATCTACAACATATTTTCTACGGTATCGTCAGATGTCCGGGTATTATCTTTCGGTATCTTCTTCTACTTTTTCTTTCTCTTTATAAGCAATTCTGCTTGTTCATTGGCGGATTAATACCTCTATGGAAGGATGACACTCCATTTTTTGCGCGGTTGTCCGATACTTCTATGGCTGATTGATGACTAATCTCTTGCTATTTTGATAACACGGGTCTCCTCCATTCTGCTTATGTGGTTATTCCATTCTTTTTTTCTTTTTTGTGTTCATTAATTTGTACACTGTACGTTACATTTTCTTCAGATGTCTTTACTTCTCTTTCGTTGTGTAATTCTCCTCAGTACTCTAATCTCTACCGTTTCCATTAGCCTTTGCGTTATGGCTCTACCGGGTCTTGTTTCTGAAGCATATGTCATTATTGGTCTTACACTGACTTTACAAATTCTTGACTTTATCTCGGAGTTAATGTGTATGTTTCGCCATATAGTGTTATTAAGGCATCTTGCCAGTCTATTTACTTTTTGTACTTGATCTCTCACTTCTTTGTCCACCTCTCCATAGCTGAACAGTGTAATCCCCAGGTATTTTATTTTCGTTATTTTGCTCTTATGTTAAATCTGCGGACCAGTCTTTGCACACTATCTTCATCTTGGGCTATTATTATTTGCGTCGTCTGCGTAACGGAGTATTTTTATTATTTTGTTTTACATTCAGTATCATCTTCCTTTTTAACGCTTTTGATGATTTCAACCATGATTAAATAGGTTCTGTAAGTTGTCCATCTATTCTGACTTCCATTTTGTTGTTTTGGTAGCAAGCAAGCAATTTGATTGAACCCAGCCTATGAGAAATGTTCACCCAGGTAGTACGATCGGGTGTAACAATTCATTGGAGCAAGGTGTGTTAACTCGAGAAAAAACAGGAGTCACCCCACCGTGGTCCAATGCTCTAGACCATCCCTTTCTCCCCTATAGCACTCTGATGCGCTATAGAGGCACAACAACCAGCCAAATGTTCTTTATGTGGAGGTCCTGGGTAATAGAACCCCAACATGGTTTCCTAACCGAATGCAAAAACTCAGGACAGCGCATCACCGCTATATTCCTGTTATCTTCTGACTCTGAGTCCCGGCTCAGTTCGGCAACTTGGTGCTCAAGGGGTTGGGCCCTACGTGCCCGGGTTTTGGGGTTTTTGTTAATTTTTTTGGTGTCCGAAGCCGGTTTTTGTTAGTAATTTTTTTTTATTTTTTTTTTCGGTTTTTTGTGTTTTTTGTGGTTTTTTTTTGTAGGTGACCTGTGGACAAAAAATCTTAATTAGTATATAGTCTATATTATAATAAAGAAAATATATAAAATATTATACGATACCACAATACAGACTGTATCCTTGTGTGAGCAGCTGGGCCCACTGTGTATGAGGCGATATGCGATATTCTGGGTGATTGTTGTTTTGGTAGATGTTTTCAATAGTTTTTATAATCTTTAAAGGAACTTTTCGATTATACAGACGAGGGACATCTTTGGGTCTTACTCTATCAAACGCTTTCTTTAGGTCAATCAGACACAGAATTGCTGGTCTATTATACTCTAGTGATTTCTCAATAATTTGTTTTATAACGAATATTGCATCTTTATACGATCTTTCACCATGAAAACCCAGTACAAAGACACTGTTTTTATTAAAATTTAATTTCGCAAAATATGAAATAGGTTTAAATCTTTTAAATCTTTAAAATATTTAAGAAATAAAAAATGGAGATTTTAAAATTTGTTTACAAGTACTTTTTTTTCTGAAATAATATGGAAACATTTAAAAAAATCAGATAATTATTGGAGTCTCTTTTGTGCCATAACGTATAAAAATAATTTATAAATTGGTCATCTGTCTTTGGAATTTACTCTTAAAGCTTCGTTTTGTATACAAAGTGGGCTACTTATAACACTTTACCCTAATGTTTAGCTATATTAATTATATTTTTTACGCAACAATGCTGAAACAATTCGAATTTTATTTTATTTCAATTTCCTTTCATTCTTCATAAGGAGATCTGTCATTTGTCAACTAACTTCTATTCATTTCCCAAATCCCTTAACTTCAAATATAGAATAATGAGTTTGTCTACATCAATATACAACTTTCTATAATTTTTCTTTATTCAATAACTATCTTTTTTAAACGCCTATGTTTCTGCGGTGTCAAAGTTTTTTCATCACATTAAAATCGACATTTTGGAACATATACAACTAATATTGGAACAAATAGTAGAGAATTTTATAAGATATAAAATAAACTAAATTAATAAAATAATTCATTCAAAAACAGTGTGTTCATTAATCGTATTTAATAATAATAATAATAAACATAATTAGATGTTCAAAAGTAACACCATTGTTAAACCAACAATTCAAAAAACAATTGCTAAATTTGTGTTTGATGTAAAATGATTGACACATTAGGGAAACATGGTCTTTGCGTTTAATTTTTAATAGTTTTTCAAAAAATTATTATTTTTTTAATAAAATTGATCTAAATATGGGAAAAACTACAAATACCTGTCGAATGATACTGACCGAATAATACAAATGGTATGTTCTCTATTAAAAATTAAGGGGTTGTGGAACTAAAACTAAGGGGTTGACAGATTACAGATGCCTATACCGTTAAAAGGGTTGAGTTTACCAAAAGTACAAGCCGATTAGAGCCACAAATGTCAAACATTGAACAAAAAATTTCGGTTTAGCAGTGTTGAAGAATGAGTAAATATTTGTTTCTTCGGATATTAATTGCAGTTAATTATTAGAATTTTTTTTTGGCAATTTCCCTTTGATAGATTAAGGGATAAATTTATCAATCGTCAAATTGGCAGTTGCCAGATTGCAACAGCAATCTCGAAAGAGACAAATATTTAGGTACTCGTTATTGTTTCATATAAATTAAAAATTGCAGAATTCATAAAATAGTATAATTAAAATATACATTTTAAAATATTTTTCTCTTTATATTTGAAGCATACAACATATGCATTATAAAAACAACCCAACACTGCCAATCCGAAATATTTTTTTTCACGGTTGACATTTCCGGCTATATTCAGCTTGTACTTTCCGCAAACTCAGCCGTTAAAAGTTATCCTCATTACAAAAAAATTGACATGTTTTAGTATTATCTCAAAATAGAATATATACATCTGTAATATTCATTGACCCACTGTGTATATATAGTTATACAGGGAGTTGAATTCAATGAGATTATCACGTAAGGGAAATTCTATCGTTGGAAACACTAACTCAAATAATATAATTATACTACTTGGCATGGAGATCACATTTAAAATAATATCTACAAATTTTTTACTGGGACTTCTATATTTTTGTATATTATTTAATTTTTCATTTTTTTATTTAATATTTTTATTTGGTATTATTTTTTTCTTATTCTTGTTTTTATTCTTTCAGTGCAACCAATGATGTTATTATGACTGAAACTTACGAAAAAACAGAGAAATTATAAAATATTCAGAAGAAAACCACCCTAATACAGATTAAGACAATATTATTTTGTACACTTTTATAATATTAAGTATTTATATAAAAGGGAAAACTTATTGCCATAATTTGTTGTAATTTGTTGTAATAATGTTCTACAATTATAATATTTTACTTTAAAAATTTGTTTATTGTAATCGTGATTATTTACTAAAGTGTGAAACGAAAATAGAATCTTCGGATTTCAATTTTGCTGTTAAATTTTTAAATTCGAATTAGAATATCAATAACTTTTTAAATTTAAAAATGATATGGAATAGTTAAATAAATGAATCAACTTTTGTATTTTTTTCTTGTTGTTATTAATTATCATAAAATTTTCTCAATGTTACCCGTCATTTTCTCAATTATCGTCCTATTTTTTTCTGGTCATAGATCTAGGATCCTCTGGTCATAGTTCTAGGATTTACCTTACATAATATCTCAGGTTCTATCAGATTTCGGTAAAAAAAATGTTTGTTAATAAAAAAAAATTATCGGCAAGATAATAAATATTTTTATTCAACTCTTTTACTTCATCTCTTATCTATAAAACACATACATATTTTCAGATGTATATTTAAGTTAAAAATAAAAATAAGTTAAAAATAACATTAACTTTGCACAACGATTTTGGGTTAGAAATGTTTAAAAAAAAAATTTAATCTTTTTTTGGGTGCATATAAAAAAGTAAAAGTCCCTTAACAATTATATTTTTACAAAAGTTATAAACAATTAACTATTTGGCCTTCTTTTGTTGTTTTTGAAGCAACAATTTAATTGAAAAGATTTTAAACTACTCCATTTGAAGGTTTTTATCTCCTAATAGAAAAAATATTTATATTTAAGTACACGTTAATAAATATATTTTTTACGAAAAGTGAAAATTAGCAAGCAACTCTGAAATTTCTGCAGAAAGTTTTCTTACTATAGGTATACATTAACAGAAGTATTGTACCATTACGTAGGCTTTATTTTCAATGAGGCAATTTCAAGAGAAATCTTTAGAATACAACAAACCGGTATACCTGTATTTCGTGGATCTTAAGAAGGCATTTGACCAGGCAAAATTAAAGGACGGTATCAAAACGGAAATAATCAAAAAAAAAAGTAAGAACTAAAAAAGGATATTAAATGGAAGAAAAACAACTTAAAATAATCTGCTATATAGACTACGTAATATTACTCTCTCAAAGTGAAAATGATTTAGAACGTATGCTGCACCAATTTATTATAACCGCCAGAAAATTTAACCTGTTAAATTTCATAAAAAAAATGCATGAGTATAACAGTAAATTTACTAGGATGTAAATTGAAGCTGGTAGGTCATATAAGTGATAAAGATTAAATATCTAGGCATCACATTATCTAACTACGTAAAGCTCAAAACTGAAGTGCAAGATCAGGTGAATAGATCAAACATAGCTGCAGGTTTTCTGAATAAAACAATATGGAAAAATAAAAATATCGGGAAAGAAATGAAAGGGACAATTCACCAAAACAGTCATCAGATCAATAATGACATAAGCGGCAGAAACACGACCTGATACAGAGAGGACAAAAAGGATGTTTGAAACAGTAGAGATGAAAACACTTAGAAAAATTGATTTTAGGACACTATGGGACAAACTTTAAACTACCAGCTAGGAGATTATATACGCGGAGATCACGTCAAGACATCTCAGATCACATCATCAGAAACCAAATTGATTACATTATGGTGAATAAAAGATTTAGAAACTCAATAATATCAGCCAAAACATATCCTGGTGCTGATATCGGGCCGAGCCATAATCTACTGGTAGTTAACATCAGACTAAAGCTGAAGAAGATAGAGAGTGCAAAAGCAAGAAAATACGATTAAGACCATTAAAAAATAAAGACACCAGGCACCAGATATAAACCTATATAGAAAAAGAATTAAAAAATACAGACAAAGCTAATGAACCAGATAACGAAATGGCAAAACTACAACAAATTAACCAGACAATCCTAGATAAATATCTTCGCCCAACAACATTTAAAAAGAAAGAGTGGATTACTGATAAAATCCTAAATATGATGGATAATAGAAGAAGAGCTAAAAATTGAGACATGTGGGAATATAAACAAATTAACAAAGAAATAAAAAAAAACTATTAGAGAAACCAAAAACAAATGGTTTGAAGATCAATGCAGAGAAATAGAATCATTGGAAAATAGACACGTTTAATCTCCACAAGAAGGTAAAAGAGGCGGCAGGAATGAACAAACCCAAGAGATCAGTACATATGAATGATAATCATGGCTACCTGGTAATAGATATTGAACAAACAAAGAATATATGGAAGAGATACGTTGAAAAGACAGTCGATACACAGACAGATATAACACCCAGACAACTATGGAATACGACACAAGACCATCAATCACTCAAGACGAAGTCAAAGGCGCAATTAAAGCAATTAAAGAAAGTAAAGCACCAGGGCCCGACAACTTTTATTCAGAATTTCTAAAAATCCTTTTAGAGGATTTTTAGAAAGGACGAAGGAGTAAAATAGCTTACGACAACGTTCAACAAAATCTATGACTTGAGAAAAATCTCATAGAGCTGGTTAAAATCTACATTTATTGCTATACCTAAAAAACCTAATGCAAAAAAATGCGAAGAGCATCGTATTATCAGTCTAATGAGCCACATTCTTAAGACCTTCTTAAAGATAATACACAGAAGAATTTATCAGAAATGCGAGTCACACTTCTCACGAACGCAGTTTGGATTCAGGGATGCGTTAGGTACAAGAGAAGCCTGAAGACGATCAATAGGAAGGATATTTCCTATTTTCTCCAATACGAAAACGATGGAATGACAACTTAGTGAGGCACTGGCACATTGAAAAACAGACAGAGTCATGTCCACATAAAAAGAAGAAGAAGACGAAGTATGCGTTTATGATACGTATAACGTACGCCATACAGTATTTCCTTAGACAATTAAAGAGAGGGCACGCGTAATCGTATGGAATTGACTGAAATCTAAACTGGCTACAACCGGCACCCTGGCTTCACTTTTCGAAGGTTTATTAAATGAGCATTACCTTTTCTCTCTCTTTCCTTGTCTAAGGTATTTGCTATATATTGTTCTTCTTCTTCTAATGCCGCTACAACCCTTTGTCGGTCTTGACCTGCTTAACAATGTACTTAGATACTCAGCCACTGCCTGATGTTCATGGTTTTAATATCTTCCAGTTTTATTTCCCATATCTTATATTCAATTTTCCCTATGTTCTTTTTTGATCTAGTTGAGAATATTTTTAGGTTATACTCATATCCCTTACCTACTGTTATTTTTATTTTGTTACGATATATTGAGTGTGATACGTAGATGATTTGATTTCTACAGTTTTCCACTAATTTTTATTTGTTATCAATTTCGTATTGAAACTTTTTGATGGTTTTCTTTTTGATATATTTTTATTAAGATCTTTATTTTTGTTTATTTAGATACTAGCACTATGTTAACTTCCAATAATAAATTATAATACTCCTAAAAATATTAGAAATAAATTAATTACAGAAATACTGTCACATGCTAGTTTACAAAGCTGTTTATTCAGACATTTTATTTTACAATCAAAATACAATAAAATGTTATTATTGTTCTTTATTTTAAACGTGGTAAAAAGTTTTCCTTTCTATATATCATTTACTTCATTTTATAATTTTCATATATTCCCTTTGCTTATGCAAAACAATTTATTATTTTTACAGACTTATAGAGCTTATTATTTGATTTGTTAATAAAAAAATACACATACTATTATTGATTTTCTTTCTTTCTGTAACCAATTGCAAATATTTTCACAGACACTGCTGTTGCACAGTAATTTCGTAAAATATATCGAGATATAGAATATGTGTTAGTTAACGTAACATATCATTTAGAAAAGCAGGTAAAACATAATGCTTTGATAAAGTAAATCCAATGGATTTTTTCTAGAACAAAAGAGTAGTTTTTTCTCTTAGTTAAAAAGTTCAAAGAAGTCAAATACTTTGTAGATTTTTAAACAAAAAGAATTGATATTAAAAATTAAACTTGCTCTACATCGATATTGTTCTTAACTATTTCCAATTACAAAATCAAATATTTATTTGATGTGGATACTGTTCTTATAACGCAACTTTTAATTTCTAAAATAAATACAGATGTCAATATTTTTTAAGAGCATTTGTAACTATCATTATATCGAGTCTTAGGTATGAACCCATAGTTACTATATATTATAGAAATAGTACCGTTTTTGGCATGATCTTAGAGACATATTTACCAAGAAACAGCTGTTTAATTTTCTTTAGAAGGTTCATTAAATTAACACCAATAGTAAACAGATAATCCTCCTCGTTCCTTAAGCCTATGTCAGGGCGTGGTGATGCTCTAAATATTATTAGCTTGCTGTCTTCTTGTAAGGATTTTACCACCAGAGTCTTCATTTGGTCTATCCATAATATTGGAGATCTTCCTCTTGGTTTTCGGCCTCATACTTTTCTTTCTATTGCCACTAGTTCCATGGTCCCCGTTCTTCTAGCGATTTGACGATCTTCTGTTTTTAATGCCTGTATTTTATATGAAGCTCTTCCATAATTGATAAGTTGGTTCTATGTTCGGTCCAAGACACGCATATAATTCTTTTATAGACCCACCGAAGACTTTGATTTTACTTCTATCGATTTTTTTCTATCGTGTAGTTTTCATTTTCCTTTGCCATTGTAATTTTTATCTCATGATCTAGATTACTTATTAACTAGTACGAGATCTGATTCAATATGTGCCACTGGTTGGTCTGTGAGCTGAGTATAGTGTCAGTACAACTTAAAGTTGTCATTATTATACATATTGCGATGATCAATATTGATCTTTTTCATTTATTTACATAAACAAGATTCTGTATGTTTTTTATTGTACCTTTAGAAAGCTGTGGTGCCATCGCTTCCGGTGCCTTTCCACTGATTGTATTGGGGAACAGTCTCTCACCGTCGTTACTACTCTATTTGTTGTCATTTGGCTTATATGTATCTTTTCATTAAACTCTTCTATTTCTTACCCAGTCCTTAATATTCTCCATCTTGCATCTGCGTCGTATATGTGTACTTCTAGCTGTGTCACATAGTGTCTTTCCATCTATTTTTCTATCTGACTGTTTTGTAAGTTCTGCCTTTTATTTTTTTCCCGATATTATCATTTCTTCATATTGTTTCATTCAGACAACCTGCGGCTCTGTTTGCTCTTTGTAATTTCATCCGTGATCATGTCAAGCAATAGGGAGCTCAGAGTATCATCCCATCTTATCCCATTGTTAGCTTCAGTTGGGGCAGTTAGTTAGCTTTTTCTACTTTTACTTTTATTGTATCCTTTTGGGAAATAGTTTCGTTTGTTCAGATTATTCGAAAGGTATCTCACTTGCGTACAATAACTTGATAACGTTCTTTAATTTGACCCTGTCAAATGCCTCCTAAATTTCTCTTGCAATTGCCTTATTATAATTATAGCGTCGGTGCATGATCTTCTTGAGCTAAAATTTTGTTTTTCTTCTTTTAGTGTTATAATTTTATTTGTTATTACTTTTGTTGTTAATTCTAGTTTAATAAATTAATTCCTCTGTAATTTTTCGGGTCTGATTTGTCTCTCTTTTTGAAAAAAGGTATTAGGATCCTTGATATCCATTCTTGTGGTATTCTGTTTTGTTTTATTAATTAATTATTTGATAATAGGGTACATGGTTTATGTGGAAAAATCCAGGTTATTATTGACTATTTCTTGATTAAAATCGTTGCTACTATGACTATCTTCATGCTGTTCTTTATACTCAGTTCCGAGAAATATCTGGCAACCCCGGTAAAATATTGCATGGTTTTTTGAGCTTGACGTTCATATGGACATTTACTCTTTGGCATCTTATGGTCATCATAATGTATGTCAGCTATGGTTTAACAGGAATTACCTGAATGACAAATAGAAGACCATGTTTCAGAAAATATCTTTCAAAACATCAATGTCACACATGCAAAAGTTTCCCTATCCATATCTGCGTTTTTTCGCTCGGTATTTTTTCTCGCATGCAGTCTGAAACCCATTCGCCTCTCTAAGTTTCCCATTTTATTTATTTACCCCTGTCTGTTGAAAAGGTGGGCGGAAGAGATCGCTACCTCACAAACAGTACAGTCCGCCAAGGCAGATTTGCCTATCATATTTGTAAAGGTATCAAAACTACCATGTCTGGTCAGAAACCGCGTCAGGAAGTAGTCTAGTTTCCTGAACTTACGTTTCTACTACGACCTCATATTGGGAATAAGCTCCTTCGTCCACTCGCTTTTCCGCTAATATTCACTTATTTCGTCTGACACTCCTTTATCGTTCTCTCCCTCTCTGTTTCTAATCTATATTTCCATTTATCCTCCTCGCTTTTTGCACAAGTCGGTCAGTATCACTGCTCTAATAACATATACTCATTTGAAGCAGTCTTGTAGGCGCTAGATACCCTGAGTAGCATTCTCATGTGCAAAGTTCAGCACGCTACACCACACGGGTCAACGTAGGTTACCACCAACAGGAACACTTTATTTAGTATCCTTCTTTTGGTGCTAACTATGCCTCCAATGTTCGGTATTCGTTGTAATACCTTTGGTTTGCCTTCTCCGCCTTGGACGTGTACTCCAAACCTCAGTCCGACAGCCAGACTCCGAGATACTTAACCGATTTAACCGGTGCAAACGTCACCCCTTCGACTAACTATAGAGCGAAGGGAGAATTTGTTCCGGTTTGCTTTGAGAGTTACCACTTCAGTGTTCTGAGTTGCTAGCTGTAGATCATGCTCTCTGATCTATTGTAAGTTGTTGTTATTATACGCATCATCCTGTAATACTGAATATCAAACGACTGAAGCTTATTTATATGTTCTTGCTTTAATTTTCAGCTTTCAAATTCATATTGTATTGTCAAAACACGTTACATCTCAGAGCTCTTACTCTTATTTCTAATTTTCCCAGTATTCTCAGTATTTTAGTATTCTAATCTCAGTACTCAGTATTCTTAATTCAGTATTCACTGTCGTCATCAACGTTTGCATTTTTGGGGATAGTTCATAAGATGGAAAGTAACCATTATTTCGACGTATATCCTTTTTGTAAATTGTGTTTCTTCTTCAGGCCCATGACACGCGCAGCGGTTTGACCAAAGCGTTTATCAAGGCGGTTTTCTAGAGCAGTGACATATGTAACGCTGTAACCGAAGCAGTTTTCCACTTAGTTTAACCAGTTTGTTTATTTAATATGAAAGTTTTCAGTTGTTAGTTTTGTAGTGAGGTAAACAAGGTGTTGATTCAGAAATAATGTCATAAAAATAGTATTCTTGGTATAATTTTTTTTAAAAGACATATTTGTTCACAAATAACATATTTTTGGTCTACCAAAGTGTTTCTTAAAAAGAATTAAACTATCAATATCTTATCAAAGCATTTGTATTGCCTGATTTAATAAGTGTCATCTACTTAATATGACGTTACGTTACCTAATATAATAACTTACAGTTAGACTTATGTTTTACAGGAGTATGTTGAACTGCGTTAACGCATTCGAACAGCATCTGCCAGTTACCGAACAAGCTGGTCTAGTTGTGGCGGAAGAGAAAACCCAGCACGATTCATGTAAGAATAATTTAGTAGCAAAGTAATCTGTATTGTTTTTGCATTCTAAATTGTGAATTGGATTGTTGACTTTACACATGACTTGATGTTGCTCTTGCATCCTAGTGCAACTGTTAAATTAGAATGTTTGTTTTAAAGAAAAAAAAATATTAAGAGAAAATAAATAAAATTTTACGATAAATGCAGAAAGTAACAAAAATATTTCATTATTTTACTTGTGATGTACCTTTACGCAGTAATATGTTATAAATTGAACTACTATTCAGTTTAACTTTCAAAATTTGTTTTGCCTCTTTTATATTTTGCAAAAATTTCATAACGAAAACAAAGTTTCATAAAAATATTTGACCTTTTAAAATTAAACAAGAGTTCTTTAAATTTCTTTTTTTTATTTGTTTGTTTTGTGTTTTTTAAATTACAATTTTTAACTCATTTTAGTGGGCGAGAAGGCCCCATAGATAATTTTATAACAGAAATACTTTTTCACTTATTCTACTACTATACTATTAACATGATTATAATGACTATTTAGAAAAAAAAAACGGAACCAAAACGGGTTGTTTTTAAATTCAGTAAATAAGTGACATGGTGATTGATTTTGATAAGGCAGCATATTTTTCTTCTTTATCTGGAACCTTTCTTTATAATGCTATCTTTCAAGCACACCAATTATGATATATGAACCAACTTTTTCTTACATCTTAAAACACGTAAGCCAAAACCTTGCCAACTTTGTTATTTTGGACGAATTTGCCTGATTAAACACAGCATGGGACTTGCAACCCCTTTGAATTATATTCAGGTGTTACACTTCATTGAAGCGAGATGTATTAATTCGTGAAACCAGGACCACTCTACCGCGCTCAAATGCTCCAGAACATCTGTTTCCCCTTCAATAGCACTCTTATAATAACTCTAACACGATATCCTAACCTGATTAATGCAGGCTAATTAATGAGGCGCTTTTTCCTGCTTTCTCTATTGACGTATATTGGAACTGAAATTACTGCTCAGGCCTCGAGTTCAGGCTCTGAACTACGACCAGTTCGAAGACTTGGTGCTCGAGGATGTGGGCTCCTCGTGTCCAGTTTTTGGGGTTTTGTTAAT